AAAAGAAGCTAACGGATGAAATAATGATCGTTACACCCATTAATACAAAATGAAAATCAACAAACATACATACATGAGGCATAAGCTCTACATGACTACATCACATACATATATGCTATGCACACATCCAATATACACATACTGTGTATATACTTAACGAATGCAGGATAGATGCATGCGCATACAATACACATATCATACATAACACATGCATGCATAGTGTAAATACTAATATACCTACTACGTACATGCATACTATTATTATTATAAAACGGAATAATCATTACGGAGTAATCATTAGTAACGTTCCAAAATAGTAAAGCAGTGCCATTATGGTAAGTTAAGGAGACCTTTAAAAACTATGAAAACCAACGGGCCGGAGTAAATTAAGGAGACGAAATGCGTATATATATGTCGATAGTCGAATGACCAGCATCGTGCTATACCCCAAAGACATACTACATAGTACGTGCTAACTAATTAACGTACGAGAGAGCTGCCGGCAGCGAAGTCCATCGTCGTTGCAGAAGAAGGGCCGACCGGAGTAGGAAGACCCCGGAACTGTACTGCCATAGGCGCCGCAGTGGGAAGAGCCGCCGCTATCGATCAGTCCAACTCCGAAGAAGCCTCGCCATTCCGTAGCCAAGTCGCCGGCGTCTACTTGCGAAGAAGACAGTACGTACTCCTTGTTTCTTCTTCTTATTCTCTTGCAGTTCCGGGCCGGGTGGATTAGGGTAGCTGAGCAGTGTATTTTGTTGGGCTATCCATAAGAATAATATTAATAATAACAATAATAATAATAATAGTAATAGTAATAATAATATTACTAATCTGCAAAATGGATTTATTAGAAATGAGAAATATTAATGATGAAATTGGCTTGATAGTAATCACTTGGATAAATTTGTTAGTTAACATAATAATTACATAATGTTACATGATGAAATGAATTGATGGTTTAAGTAATATACGATTATCTTATTAACATAATAACTATTTATTTGGACTTAGTACCGTAATTAGATCAAATAATGTTGGATAGATATTATTTTCACTAATTACTGGATTAATTGAAGTAGATTAATAAAATTAACCTAATTACGGACTCGGAAATACTAAGTGTGTGATTAGTTAATAAAATCAGACTAAGTTGATGATGATTAGTTAGTTTAAATAACTTTTATAATATTCAGATGTATTATTAATGTCGATTAAAGTAATCATGAAAACTGAATATTTTAATATAATTCCGATATTAACATATTTATTGGATTATGATAAAAGATTATGATGAACTGAATTAGTTAATACTTTTTCGGACTAGATTAAAAATTAATGAAGGATTATTGTATTAATTACCGAATTAGTTTAAAATAGGACAAATAATACAAAGTATGAGGTAGTTATTAAGTAGGAAGATATTTATAATAAACTAATAATCGAAGTAGTTCGAATATGGTATAATTCATATGTCAATAATAATAATATTAAATTATAGTTAATTAATTTGATGTAGAATAAATTGATGGTGATTAATCAAATTAAAATTTGGTTATTTTAATTAAATACATGTCGGTTATTATAATATAATTATAGAATTCAAATATTAGAAATCATGGCTGAAGTAATAAAATGATTTGATTCAAAAAAAATGATTAACTCAAATAATTAATTCGTTAAATTAATAAGTTCGCATAAAAGAGAAAAATTGGATAAATTATTAAAAATACAAAAAAATGACTAATTAAATCATCTTAATTCAAAAGGTGAATATTTAGAGACCGGAATAGAAGAGGAGAACTAGGGGCGTCAGGACCTACTGTAAGTTTCTCTGCCAATCCAAAAATTGTTTCCTCGTATTATATGCTTAGTAGTTAGTATGCATTATGTGATTAAGTGTGAATTGTGAATTATGAGTATGTGATTTTGAGGAATACAAATTAAGAGTACTTTTTGGGGTATTAAATATTTTTAAATACCTTTGAGACTAATTAGAGAGATTGAGAAGTATTTTTGAAGTATATCTTAATTCAAGATAAAAGTAAAGATTTTATAAGAGGTGAGCACCGCGGGAGAAATCCGCGGTGTCGGTTTTCCACATCCGGATAAATGTGGAGGGTGATTAGGGCTGCTACTACTAAGAAGTACAGTTTGAGTTTGAAGTAACATTTGGATCTATGATCCCTTTTAAGAAGAAGTTATAGTAGTAGTCCCTAATCATTCAGAGATATCTTATTCAGGGGTAGTTGGTAGACTGAGTCCCGATTACTCGTGACGACTTACTACTCGGAGGGCTTGGAATCCCTTTTAGGGGGTGTGCACACTTAAGGTAGTCGTTTCGTTTCCGCAAGAGCAGTTGTGGTACCGGCACTTGTTTGGGGTGGCCGTCCGTAACCACGGTCCACCGGGCTCAGTCGAAAGGTTGAGCACCGCCCTTCTAAATTACTAGGAAGTTAGAGAAGAAGTGATTTTTGAGATGATCAAAGAAGAAGAGAATTTTTATGGAGTGAGTTCTTTTTATATAGTATTATATGAAAAACTATTTTTCGCCAAACCTGATTATTTTACGGGGTTGGGTAGTACTTACTTAGCTCTAAAGCTAATTTTTGTTTTCTTTCTTGTTTTGTTTCTGCACGATATTTGTGCAGGTGATGATGGTTATGTTGATTGCTGAATGCATGCGCCTGAGAGCGAGTTAGAAGTTGCCTTAGTCAAATTTAGTCTTGAAATAAACATTTAATTATTTAGTTTTATTGTTTTGTTTTAGTTGCCTGTGCATCCGGTTGAGAGATGACCGGATGTGGCGGTAACACCCATTTCCCTATTTAGACTTCCGCTGTACTCTTTAAATTTTATTATCAATAAATAAAAGTTTTATTTCAATCATATCAATGTTTTTGGGCGGGAAATTTGGGGGGTGTTACATTGACCGGTAAGGGTTGCCAGCGAGGTTCAAAGAAAAGCCTTCCCTATCAAATGTGAGGACCTCGAATGCGAAATTGCCAACGTGCCTCAAAAGAAAATGGGAACCGAATGGGACGTTGTTGTCCATGATGAATTCAGCAAACCCAGATGTAAAAGTGAAGTCTTCCACTTTCACTATCCAGGACTTCGGGCCATAAAGAAGCTTAGCATACTGGCGGGTGTGTTCGAACAAGTGTCTGCGCATGCATGGAGGAATTTTATGCACAACAAAACCACAAAGCAAGGATAGGGTGATGTTGGAAATGGAAAAAAAAAATAATCATTCAAGATGAGTGATTCAGTTGGGAGGAATGTACACAAAATTCAATATCAGTAACAGCAAACAGAAACCAAACAATAGCAAACTGCAGCACGTCTGGGTAATGAATAGAATCAGTTCGCGAACACACTGCGAAAAACATCACAATGCACCAACATGAAAAAGATAATGTTGCTAAAGTGTGTGACCAATATAGGAGGATGGGGGAGGGGGGATTATTCGGAGATTAGGTTACCTGCAAGCTAGGGCATCAATGCACCGTGGTGTGTATAGTGATTTAGTTTGTGTTGCAGCTCCGCCTCGCTCCTAAATGTCTTTGGCAGCAACCTGAAGTAACCAGTGATCTCCAAAAACTGTCGCCAGTCCAGGCTCGCGATGAAGCCAGTTTGGGTTCCATCACCAGGAGTTATGACAACAACCGCAATACGCCTGCCATGGACTGTGTGTATGTAGTATGTTTGTCCATCATTGCCTACAGGGGTTTTTGTTGGTTCAAGAGTGTAATGGGTGAACAAATCCATTGCACATGTGAATACAAAACAAAACTGAACATCATGCCATGCACAACAAGGTTCAGCGAGTAAAAAGAAAAAAACAGGGACAGTCAAAGCAACCCATGCAAAGGATGGTGGTGAGTGGGGGCGTGACGAGAGGACATACCTGTGGATGGCAAAGGTTGACGCGTGAACCAGGAAAGAAGAGGATATGGACGGCGTCCTCGGTGGATGAGAGAAGTAAGCAATGAACCTCGAAGTGTGCTCTGTAAAGGTTTTGTGCGACGAAGAGGCGCCAGGGGTGTAAGTAGGCGGTTGAGTTCTACGATTGGTTGGACTCAGAGGCGCAATTATGGGCCAGTGAGATGCGTGCATTTTAAAGTAGAAAAACGAAATATTATGATGTTTAATACACGCTTAGGAATAATAGATTCAATGGTTCTAATTTGTTTTTACAATTGAATAAAAACACAATACACCCCTCCCCTCCTCAAAAAATACAATTTTGGTTGTTGGGTTTTTTAAAAAGCAAACCAAAATGAACAATGAATAATACTAACAATAATGAACGTGTTATGAAGTATTGTAATAGCAGTATAACATGTCATGCAAAATATGCAACCCTTTCCTCCAAAATAAATAAAGAAAAACGAATAATGTTAAACAAAAAAAGGGGAAGGCGGAATGTTTAGTCATTACAACAAGAATCCCCTTGCTAAAAATAACAGTCTCTTTTCTTTGAAAATTGAACGGAAATTATGGGGAAAATATCAACAAGAAAAAATGCGGATTCGCTTGCTAAAAAAACGAGGTACCCAAATCTTTGTGAGTACATCGAAATATGTTTTTTAAAACCATTCATCAATAAAGAAGAAGAGATGTGCAAGGATGTAACTACTCGAACGTAAATGTGCAGAACGTGGCCCATGTAGTTTTCCAAACAAAAAAGATGAATCAAGTTGCACTAAAAAAGAGTTGTGTGGATGGTAACAATTTTGAATGACCACAGGTACAAAAATTAAATGGCGAACTTGCGATGATTTGCCTAGGATGCACATCATGTGGATATGACAGTGGCTTTACACATGAGCAGAGTGCATGGAATGGCACACTTTCTGTTCCTCTGAATGGTTTCAAAAGAGTAAGATAGCGGCAAGTTCCATTCCCTGCGTATGCATCAAAACATAAAAAACATGTCTTGGGGGTAGGGGAAATGGGATACGTATAGTGACCTGTTGTAAGTATGCAAAAAAACATTATGTAGCAAACGCATGCAATTACTTGTGTGCACCTAGCACGTTTAGTAACCACCAGCAAAAAAATATTTACAACCATCATGAGCAATGAAATAGGCCAATATGACCCATGCACAACACCATGACTGTGGACAATGTTACAGCCCCTACAAAACGTGAGTTTTGGACAAAAAAAGTGTGCGTGTATATACAACACTTTTTAGGCATTCAAGCGCAGTAGCCAAACATCAGTGGCAAAAAGGCAGGTGGGTCTTCAAGCGTGGTCTAGGCCTTGCGTTTCTTGGGGCGCAGGTCAGCAATGACATCATCTTCAGGCTCTTCTGGCTGGACAAGTACTGTAGATGAACTGGTAGCTTCAGCGTGTGACGGTTTAGCCGGTGTCTTGACTGCAACATTCTTCTTTGTTGGGGCAACCTGAACCTTCACAGAGCTTGAGGATATACTGGAATCATCATTGTAATCCTCATTCTCAGATGGCTTCGCAGATGGCTCAGCAGGCTCATCCTGGGGCAGTTCATGGAGTGACCTAAATGCAAGCTTGCGTTTAGGCTGAGCAAGTTCAGTTCCACCTGAGTCCGAAGATACTGGGTCTCCTGGGGGTGCAGTGTTCATTGTCCCCTCTTCCTGGCAAACGCACAGAATACCGTAGGGGTTTCCACGGGGGCCATCTTCATTCGTTTTGGTGTGTTTTACCCCAGCAACAATCGTCAACCTTTGCAGCTTTGCATCCAATGACTCCAAGTCAAAGTCATTTTCAGGATCCATCTTAGCATAAACGTAAAGCTTCAGGACATCATTGGTGAAAAATGTCACCGGAATGGCAGACGTGTTGTGAGAAAAGGTTGCATTGAGTATGAACCTGCACAAATGTAAACCCATTAGGGGTCAGAGAGGAAATCATCAACACCAAAGCTGTGACAATGGATGCATACCGTTTAACTGTTTGACCGGCTTTTTGGCCGCAGAACTTGCAATGCAAAGTGTTGCCTTCTGGTGCATAAACACGACGATTGCAATAATCACAGCCGATGTAGTACGCCTCCCCAGAAGTGTCAGCCAAATTTATTTTACCACATACCCACACCACTTTCATTTGCAATCACAAATATCGTCAGTATATTATAACGGGTATGTATTTCATCAATTCTATTTCCTGACAGACCTTATCAAGAGCAGTCTCCAGTGATGAAAGAGTTATGCGGGGTTGCGCAAGTGGAGCAGCAATATTGGCAAGGGCATTGTTATATTGTTTCTCTCCCAATAACTCCGTTATCTTGCCTCTGTTCTCCATGGCCCGGCATTGAAAAAACAAGGGGTGGGGAGGTAGTGAGCAATGACCAGTGCGAGTGTGACAAAACTTCATAAAGTCAAGAAAGGTGAGGGGGGAGGGAAGGCACCATTTTTTCAGCACTTGTGCACGCTCACCAACAGGGTTGAGTTCCATGTGGGAATCATAACGAGTCGCCAGTGACAAGCCTGGAACCCTAAAAATGCATCAAACAAACAAGAATAGCCTGGCATCCCAAGCAGGCAAGAATAGAGGTTACCTTGATAAATGTTTGTACCAACCTTGCTAAGGAACATAACTGGCCACTCTCCTGCCTGCAAGAACTTCTCAATGTCTGCACCGTGACGGGTCACAAATTCTTCCCACATCGTCAGCGGCACAAGGGTAAGACTAAAAAGAATAAATGGTATGAATGATGACATAGGTTTAGTAATGAAAAGACAGTACTGCAAGAAAAGAAAGGTAATCTCACTCTTCGTTAACAACAACTACATCCCGCACAAGCTTTTGTTCCTCTCCCATCACCACGAAGTTTCGGGGTAATCTGGCGACTATCACGGCCAACAGACCTGCCAAGCATATACCACAGTCAGGGAACACCAGGGGTGATGAGAAAGATTAGTGAATGAAATATGTGGAAAAAGCGTATTGAATTTCTGATCAGTTAAGTGGCACGCAAATAATTCACTAAAAGGTTTGGCAGAATTTTCAGCATCCTGGCGGAAGTCAACTCCAGTTTCAGGGTCAGTATCTTGGATGAATGTGCGCCTAGTGAATGACCACACATACTGGTAGTTGTGGTCAACACAGAAGCGCAGATCATTCAATGGCTTCACATAAACATTGGAAATCAGATAGGTTGAGTACAACTGCAAACGTGCGTCAAGCCCAGCAATGTCCCCTGCAAAAGCAGTTGCCTGCACCTTATTCCCCCTGTAACACCAAAGCAGGAAAATGAGGAAGGAAAAGAGATGTGCTGACATATTTCAACTGGAACAACGTCTGAAGTATAACTCAATGCAGAATCTATGAGGACCATTGACATAAACTTGATGGGAGATGTTCTTGCTGTCCGTATGTTTTGTTTCTCTACCACAGTCAAACGACATGTCCACTTTTTTGTCTCGGGCTTGACATCCACAATTAAGATTTCGGCTGACATGGATGCAGAACACCTGCAGTAGGAGGAACAGAACAATAAAATTCAAAGCAAATCAAGAAGCGTAAAACAAAAGTTAGGTGTATTTTGTATAACAGAGACTAACCAGTGGCATGAATTCTTAAGTAATGAAAGCCAGTATGTCATCATAAACAATATTACAAGTACTGTCAGGCCGGAAAGGGGATTGGGCATCAGGACAAATGACAATCTTAATGGATTGCGCATTTCTAGCCCGAGACATCGCAACATACAGTTGACTGTGAGAAAACACTGATTCTTTCAAATAAATCCCAACGAAGTCTAGTGTTTGACCCTGTGATTTGTTGATTGTCATTGCAAAACAAGCTTTTACTGGAAATTGAGTACGTTTGAATGGGAGCACACAACCAGCGTCTTTGGAAACTTCCAGAGGAATTTTTGGGATGAACACATGCTTTCCTTTGTGGTCTCCCGAGGCAATGAAACAACTCAAAAGATGTTCTCCAAATGAGTCACAAATCAATCGGGTCCCATATCAAAGACCCTCACAAGGATTGATATTTCGGAGCAACATTACAGGACAATTATGTTTGAGGTTAGTTTGTGGGGTGGCAAACCAGAAGAAGACAATGTGTGAAGATAATCTTCACAATGTGAATTTTTTGAATAAGTGGGGGCATCATAGCTCAGATATGTGTGTTCATCACCGGGGAACCTTTCCATCACCCATGAATTAATGAAGTCAACGATGGCATTTTTTGTAGTTAGAATGGAGCACGACATCAGAGCATATGGATCGGTTTGAAACAGTTGCATGTCTGGGTAAACTGCCTTGAAAAGCATATTAAGTGAATCCTCTTCATTGACCCAAGGAAGCAAGAAGTTTGAAGGAATTTTGATCCAGCTTGGAGAAACATGTGATTCTGAACCATTATCAATGCGCATCAGGTATTCACAAAACCCTGGATCCTCATGGGTGCGCATGTTTTCAGTCAGCCGTAGGCGCTGAACCCATGGCCATATTCTCAGTGAACGGAGAAGGCAGGCATTAATAAAGTCTGCACGTGAGCCTGAACGGACCACCGACAAAGTCTGTCTAAAATCTCCACCAAACACCATTACACGCCCCCCAAACAATGCATTAACGCCCAGTAGGTCTCGTATAGTTGTGTCCAAACTTTCCACAATCATGCGGTTGGCCATGGAAGCCTCGTCCCCCAAGATCAACCTTGCTTCTCTAAGAAGTCTAGCATCAGCAGATTGTTTGCCAATATTGCAAGTGTACTGGGTTTCTCTGTCAAGGGGCAGTTTAAAACGAGAATGTGCAGTTTGACCCCCAGGTAAAATCGACGCTGCAAGCCCAGAGCTTGTTGTGGCAAGAGCAATCCATCCGTTTGTTCTAGTCGCTGTAAGTAAGCACCTGTACATGAAGCTCTTTCCTGTTCCACCAGGGCCATCTAAGAAGAACACTGCCCCTTCCTGTGCGCGAACAGCTGTCATAATGGTTTCAAAAGCCAGACGCTGCTCAATGTTCAACAACGGTATTCCAGCAAGGTCTGCCTCACTGATAACCACATTAAGTTCAGCCAGAACTTCACGAGGAGCCCCAAAGTCCAAAGGGATTTCCAGAGCATTATCGGTCAGACTAAACGAACTGATGTCTTGCCCCATTTCAGAAACCAGATTCCTAAGCAAAGTCAAAAGTGTCATTTCTGCGTCACTGGGCGATTGTATCCTGGTCAAATCTTCACAAAGATGTGGTTTGTATGCATCCCAGAGTGCGCGTGGATCTGCAATACCAGAAAAGCAAAGATGGGTAGCAAATAGTCTACGCAAGCTGGAAGGCAATTGGAACACCACAACTTCATCAAGAGAAGCGCGCACCACTAAATCTCCAGCCAGTAGCCCTAATCGTTCAGCCGCAGCCCTGAATGTGGGAAATACTTCGTCATTAACGTTTTTCAGTTGAGAAAATGAAGTTGGTGCACACACATTGGCAAGCAAGAGGCGTAGGTAATATCGCTCCCCTTCAGTAGGGTTGACAGAAACAAGACGTCCTAGAACCTCCCTTCTCTCACGTTGAGTCCATTCTTTTTTATGGGCTGTCCAAACAAAATAGTGTGGGAATTCCAAGTACAAGAGATTCAACGCGCGAGCAACCTGATTGGTGATGTTCATTGCAAAGAATTGTGTGACCATGGTTTTCACAGAATCAGCTGCCCCTGTTGTGCACGTTATCCGTTGCTCCCCATAAAATGAAATGTATTGAGCATTTTCCAGATGAACTTGAAGTTGCAGCACGACATGTTTCATTTCAGCTATTGAAAAGCCAAAAATACGCCATGCAGCCTCAGGGGGAGAAACCCAACGTGCCTTCTGGAAGTCTCTGATTTCATCAATACGCCATGCCCCATCAGGCCTTCTCTCAGACAAAGACATGCTCACCCTGTCATGGCCTTTGTAAATATACTTGTATATGTATTTCACAGACCTCACACTTGCATAAGCTTAAACATTAATATGACAATCATATTTTTTCAACAGCTGTGGTAAGGGACAACCCACCAATTGTCGAGTGTATGCTTCCATACAGACACAGTCACCCCACTTTCCCGCCTCCTATAGTAAGGAAAACAATTGTCATCAAACGTGGTCACAGGAGCAAAGTCATGCGGGTACTTACTTCTGCATGTCGCCAATCCTGTACCATGAGTTGTAACCATGCATGGACATTCTGGGTTCATGGGGCCACAAGGACCATGCATCATGTGTTTTTTCACAAGCGAAAACAGCAAGGGGTCTGCCACGGGGTCAGGGAGTTCTGCAGCAATTAGACTATCGCATCGTGCAGGTGAGAAAATTTTACATGTAGTATCCAAGATGAGCACGAAATGAGCATGGGGGAGTCCCCTTTTCTGGAATTCAATCACATACGTGTATGCAACAACTTTACCAAACAACGACTTTGTTATAATATCCTTTTTAAAAGATTCCAAACAGGCACGAAACACGCGTGCCACAAGGTCAGGTCTATTTTGGACTTCATCAGCGAACCGCAAACGGCTCTTAATTTCAAACCAATTGGGGTTACATGTGATGGTTATGAACAAGTGTCATTGCATCCATGTACCGGCCACGCATATCACGGGGCCCACCAATGAAGGAACTTGGCAAAATTACGCGTCTTCCAACGTCACTAGTATTGTTTAAACCCAACCCAACACTATCCATCAATCCCTGATAGGTTTCAGAACGGCAGTCTCGTTGTTTGCTACGGTAGTAATCCAGACGCTGTGTCTCTATTTTGATATATATATATATATATATATATATATATATATATATATATATATATATATATATATATATTTTGATATATATATATATATATATATATATATATATATATATATATATATATATATATATATTTTGATATATATATATATATATATATATATATATATATTTTGATATATATATATATATATATATATATATATATTTTGATATATATATATATTTTGATATATATATATATATATATATATATATATATTTTGATATATATATATATATATATATATATATATTGATATATATATATATATATATATATATATATATATATATTTTGATATATATATATATTTTGATATATATATATATATATATATATATATATATATATATATATATATATATATATATATATATATATATATATATATATCAACGACGTACTCCTGAAACAGTCTGTGTTGGTCCCGTTTAAGATGGAAACAGTCTAGAGGGGGGGGTGAATAGACTGTTTAGGTTTTCAAAATTTTCTCTAAGTCCAAACTGACTTATCAGAGAAGGTCTGATTCTGGTGACAGAGAAGGTCCAATTCTGATAGCAGAACTGGCCTTGGCAGCGGATTGGTTCTGTCTGGGTAGCCTCAAACAAATACTAAGGCAAGTGCCTTTCTGATAACTCTTAATACAAGATCTGCTGAACACAGATTCCAAGTCTAAGAGTTATTCAGTTGGAGTCCTAAAGGCAGAAAGTAAAAGCAGTAAAGTAAAGGACACCAGAGGTTTTTATAGTGGTTCAAGGAACAACGCATTCCTCTAGTCCACTGTTCCACTAAGCTTGTAAATTGACAATTACAACGCCTTAGTTCCTAGCACTTAAGAAGCTCTCCACGTCTTCTTCAAGCCTAGTTGCCACCCAGGATGCAATTCCACTTCCTGATGGCTGGTCTTTTCACTCAGCTTCCCGGAAGTATCACCACTTCACTACTGCAGTTACTTGGACGCCCTTCTTTGCAGAAGATGTTCTGAAAATCAGAGTTTTCTCCAACTTGCTTCGTTACAAAAGATTTGTTGTTGAAGATCTTGAAGTGTTGAAGAACTGAAGGAACTTTGCTCTTTGTTGGGTTTGAAGAATTTGAATAAGACTGATCTTCCCAACGTTAGCTTGTCTTGTTGATGATTGTGGAGGTTGAATCTCAAGAGAGCTTTTTGAATGATTAAGAGAGCAAAAGTTACCCGGTTGTTCTTCATGAGTATCCTTTTGTACTAGGAGTTGCCTGCCCGTTGGAGGAGGAGACAACTACATTGAATGCGCGTACTGTGGAGTTGACCGGTTGGACCCGCATATTTGGCAGGTTTCTATTTTTGTATAATATTCTCCAGGAATCTCGGTCAATCATCTGCAATAACTCCACAGCATATCAGGCTCATTAAGTGAGCATTAAATGCTTTCCT